ATGACTTTATCAGAGATATTGAAGGTCTTCCATTTCTTATATAAATCAAACTCAGTCTACATGCTTTAGGCACTTAAAGGAGTTAATAAACACACCCCCACATACAGATATACACAATACCTCTTAATCCTGGGTATGTTCCTATAGACTGATGTTCAATTTTTCATTAGAAATCATCCTGTTTAAAAGTTTTAATGCAAAACATATTTCTCTTCTTACTCTAGACATGAGCAATCAGGAAGTGATTTATTCTTCTGTGAGATTTCTTCAGTCTCCATCAGAGTCACAAAATAGATTAAGGCCTGGTAGTACTCAAAGGCCTGGGAAAACGGACAACAAAGGTATATGTTTTAAGCATCTAGATTCGCCTGTCTCTTATGGATTGTCAAACTTTAGACGTTTGAAAAAAGTGTTCCTATCTGTACTTCAAGTTCTCAGATGGTAATATGAAATCATAATTGTGTAGACTAGTAGAACAAATCTTTTATCTTTTAAGTTTGTGAGAATGGAGAAATTAATGAATTCTTTCAAATTTGAGAAGCTAATGTTTTCATTCAAATTTGTATAAGAGCAATTCGTGAAGCCTTTAAAAGTAAAGGACAGAGGCAGCCTGCTTGGCCTAGCAGTTAATCTTCGGCCTGCTCTGATTTAGCTGCCCAGGTTCGGTTCCCAGGTGCAGAACCACACCATTCGTCTGTCAGTAGCTGTGCTGTGCCAGCGGCTCACATAGAAGAACTAGAAGGACTTACAACTAGAGTATACTACGATGTACTGGGGCTTTGAGAAGAAAAAAAAAAAGAGAGAGTAAGATTGGCAACAGATGTTAGCTCAGAGTGAATCTTTCAAAAAAAATTAAAAGTAAAGCACAGACTAGAGTCTCAAGAAAAGATTGCATTTTCTAGAGAGATAGAAGTCTTAAAGAATGAGAAATGAAAAATATGCAGTAGAAACACTGTTTTTATTCAGACAAAAGATATTTTTGGTATCTTAAATATTTACCAAACCTTAATGGCAATGAAGAAGCAAAAATGTTCAAATCAAAAGGAGCATTCTAATTTTTCTATTCTTTCTCTCTCCCCTCAAATATTGTTACAAACTCTTAAATGAGAATAACTTGTACTTGTTTAATTTAGTGACAGAGATACAACTTTTAGATACCGAGGACCTCAGAAGTAGGAGGATAAATATACTATTGACTAGAGAAAAATAGAACTGATGAAAAAGAAAGGAAAGTTGATTTCTAGAAACTCCTTTAAGGATGAACCCCAATCACATTTGCAGCTTCAGAATATCCACTATTGGCCACAAAATTCTCAAGAATATTGACTGCTTTCTCCTTAATCTTCATGGTTAATTGTGATCATAGGAAGGAGTATACATGTCAGTGTGGATTCTCATATATGTGTATTGTGTCTGTTGCCATCTGTGCTTTTGTCAGAGATCTAGTTTTGAAATCCTATAGGACTGTTCTTGTGTGTAGGATTTCTACAATGGGTGTATGTCAGTCAGTAATCTGCAACTTTAAAACTGTAATGACTAGATCACAAATTTAAATCCATTTGTATGATATATTATTGTAAAATTTTTAAAGAAGATTGTCTTTTTGTTCCAAATTGTGTCCTAGGTGAAGGTTAGTAGTAGGCCAGGCTGTATTCCTAATGATTATTTTCTTCCTTCCTTATTTAAAGAGTTTTCAGTGACCTGGCATCTCTTTGTGGTGACTCTTGGGATCCTCTGTCTACTTCTTTTGGTGACAGTCACAGTGTTGGGGACAAAGTGTGAGTAACTGAAATAATCCTTTAAGTCTGAGTCATAGCAGTAACCACTAACTGTGCAGGTATTAACCAGACTCCAACAATTGTTCCTTGTCTGTAATTGGAGAATATCCCAGGTGGCTCTTTTTTGGTGATTTTTCCTCAGACACATCACAATGTCATTTTCATTTTACTTACCTATCCCACTGACTGCATCTGTAAAGAGCTGTCTCATTCTGTATAATACATGGTAACATTCCTTCTGATAAGGACTTAGTAATATTCTGCCTTCTGAGTTTAGATCATTGTGCATCTTAGGGAGACATTCTTTGAGAAGCACTCTTGAAAAGAAATTATGACTTTCTCTAAGAATACAATGAAGAAATGGTTTAGTAAAAAAAGTGATTTTATACATGGACGTTAGATGATCTTCAATTCACCGTTTATCTTCTATTTGAATTCCTTGACATCTTTAGAGAAAATCACTAATATGTTACACTCAGATAAAATTACATAGTTGGATCTTCCTCTCTTCTCTCCTATGGATATTCCGTCTACTCCAATAATAATGGTACCATTTCTTCATGTTGTTAGTGCAGATTTTCATACTCAGATGATGTGTCACTAAATGTTGATTGACTGATTTTTACTTTGGTGCCTATTTGTAAATGATGTTCTAACTGTTAAAAAGAAACTAAATTGAACGGTAAGGTGTTACCATTATAAGTTTATGCAGATATCTTATTTTATTTAATATACACTTAAGTTGCTAATAGTGAGAAATTTGATGATTCTATTTTTGTGGTCAGTTTATTGAGGTGTTACTTTCTAAATGTCAAATTGCTAATTAAAGTAATGAAATGGGTTGGTTGTCAAAGTGAGACTTTTTCTCTTGTATTAAATTTCAACATTTAAGCAGTATGAGTACTTTTTTGTATTGTATCTATGTTATTAATTTTAGTTTTTCAGTATATTCAAGAAAAACATCAACAGGAGGAAATTCTACGAAACCTCCGTCAAAAGAACGACATTATACAAAATGAAAACTACTTAAAGGAGCAACTTTTGACAAATAAGACTTTAGAATATGACATTCTCAAAAATGAAACCCTTCAGCAGAAAAAAGAACTGGACTCACTCTTTATAGAAAAGAAGAGATGTCATAGAAAACAGATCTTTTCAAAGTCTTTGCAAAATACAGGTACAGAAGAACTCGTGAATGAAAGACAGCATGATTTTCTTTATTTCTTCCCCCTCCAGAAGCTTTGAGGCCTAATAAAAGACTTATGATATATGCTAGTGATCTAAGGCTACTAAACAACTTTAATTTGTGCCTCTTAGATGGAGTTTGGGTATTTGGGTTTACTGGTTTCAAATATCGATTACAACCCCAGAAGCCATGTTTGAATTAGTAGAGCCCTATGTTTCCAGAAACTCAGTGGCATTTTTTGCATTCCTACGGCTCCCAGAAGGTGAAATAGTATGTCAGCTCCCCTGAAAATTTGGGTCATTTTGGAACTGTCGGCAAATTAGGCACGCGCACTTTGTTACTGACATGAAATATGGAGGCTATCAGTGAAAATATATTTAGGCAAAAATGGGCACAAAGCCTTTTATTCTGATGCTGTTGTAAAGATAATTGTGTATGTGTATGTGTTTCCATTCTGCCTTGACTTCAGGTATTTGGTCTATTTGTGATCAATACATATTCCCTGCAGCACATCTGCAAGATTCGCCGTAGTGTTGATGCTTGTGCAACTCTGTATGATGATACCATTAAAAATATCCAAGAGCTAAGAATATTAAATCTCATACAGTAAACTCTGTTATCATGCATGACAATGAAATGAATTGACCTGGTTAATCAACAACTACTAAATATTTGTTTAGGATTTAGAGTTTACAAAGACATTTTGCATATTTAATATCATTTAGGTATGGTAGTTAGTAGAAATTCACTGTCTCTATTACTAGAGGATCAAAAACATTTTAAAAATTTGGTATACTGGGCCGGCCTGGTGGCTTAGCGGTTAAGTGTGCGCGTTCTGCTACTGGCGGCTGGGTTCGGATCCCCGGCGCACACCAACACACTGCTTCTCCGGCCGTGCTGAGGCTGCGTCCCACATACAGCAACTAGAAGGATGTGCAACTATGACATACAACTATCTACTGGGGCTTTGGGGAAGAAAAAAATAAAAGGAGGAGGATTGGCAATAGATGTTAGCTCAGAGCCGCTCTTCCTCAGCAAAAAGAGGAGGATTAGCTCGGATGATAGCTCAGGGCTGATCTCCCTCACAAAAAAAAAAAAAGAAAAAGAAAAAGAAAATCATTAAAAAAAATTGGTGTACTGTAAAATACATGTAGAAAAGAAACAAATCCAAAGAATACTGTTTATTTTATTTAGAAGGCATTTCAGAATCTTCTTTTAAATTTTATTTTATTGTTTTTAAAAACAGTTTTATTGAGGTATTATTATTATGCAAAGAACTGCACATATTTAATGTATGCAATTTGATGCACTGGGGCCTGTGCGTATATCTGTAAAACCATTTACAATTAGGGTAATAGACATATCCATCACCTCCAAAAGTTTCCTCCTATTCCCTTCTATTTTTATTTTTGTGGTAAGAACACTTAACATGAGATCTACCCTTTTAACAAGTTTTCAAGTGCACAATTCAGTATTGTTAGCTGTAGGCACTATGTTATACAACATATCTCTAGAACTTATTCATTTTGCATGACTGAAACTGTATACCCATTGAACAACAACTCCTCATTCCCCCCGGCCCCTCCCCCAGGTCCAGCAACCACCATTCTACTCTCCGTTTCTCTGAGTTTGACTATTTTTTATATCTCATATAAGTGGAATCATGCTATATTTGTTCTGTGATTGATTTATTTCATGTGATTAGCATAATATCCTCAAGCTACATCTATGCAGTCCCATATGCCAGGATTTCCTTCTTTTTAAGGCTGAATGATATTCCATTGTATGTATATACCACATTTTCTTTATCCATTCATCCATTGATGGGTTGTTTCTATACCTTGGATATTGTGAATAATGCCGCAATGAATATGGGAGTGCAGATATCTCTTGGCATTCCAGAGTATTGTTGGACCTCATATTATCTTTATTGATAGCTATTAAGAGTTTATTTGTTGAAGGCTGATATATATATTACTCTGCTTAACAGAATACCAGATGACAACAAGTTTAATGTTTCACCTTATATGTTGTAGGCAAACTCTATGAAGACCGCTGGTCCTGTTGTGGAGGAAAGTGTTATTATTTTACCACTGAAAAAAAAGACTGGAAGGGATGTAAACAGACTTGCCAAAGTTACAATTTATCTCTTTTGAAGATAGATGATAAAGATGAACTGGTATTATGCATTGTTATATTCACTTTTGTTCTCTTGAACTCTGTCTCTCATTCTTGGACCTAAGATATTGATGGGGGAATCCAGAAAGAGGGACCTTCAGTTATTCTTTGTGTTGTGTCTCTTGAGTGAACAAAAACTGTATAGTTAAGAGTCAACCAGGAGACCCCTGCCTGCTAATAGGCATATGATCTTGTTACTAAACATTCAATACATATTATCTATCCTGATGACTGTTATTATTTCTAAAATAGAACTCTCCTTGAAGGTACAGTTTGGGTCTTTGCAATCATCTCCCTCTCTAAGGAGTCTGCAGGAGACTTGCTCACAGCAAAGTATGCTTTTCCTTCCATGAAGTACTTAACCCTTTGATAAATTGCAGCCTGGAACCAGCAGTTATGTCTCCCTATAAAGTGGTAACTAAGAACCTGGAGGTGATATAGTCTAGTAGTTACTGTTTGGAACACAGGAGCCAGACTGCCTAGGATAAAATTCAGTTCTGCCACTTACTAGCTGGATGACCTTGGGTAAATTACCTAACCTCTCTGGGCCCCAATTTTCCCATTTGCAAAATGGAGATAATAATGAGGAACATAAGAGTGATAACAGTTTTACAAGTTAGCTTTATGATGATTTTCATTGCATCTGTAGGTAACATTTACTTGATCGGTATTCTTATATGTTACATCAAGATGTATGTCTTTCAAAAAGAATTATAGAAAGAGAAAATACAGTGACAATAATAGCAAAATTATCTTTTTAATTTATTACTGATAAAACTATCCACACAGACAAAATGTGTTTTTATAGAGAAAGGTTTGCAAAGATCAGCCTGAAACCTCTGTCATTTAGGAAAACAACACAAAATTTATATGCAAATCTAATAGATGTTTTAAATCACAACACAAAAGAATTTGTGATATTATGTCATAAAATAACTTTATATTTGTTGCAATAAAACAGTTAAAATTAAACCTAAATTTTAAAATACATTCAGTCATTTAATCAGACGTTATATAACATGTCACTTAGCTACGTTACATTTTTGGACAGTAAATACTTCCAAATACTACCACTTTTCCCTTCATCTCTTCCAACTACTGAACTAAAGCCAGGCTTTTTCTTATGAGGCTGAAGGCTGAAGGCTCTCAAGTACATCTCCCCAGGTACACTTTTGTTTTAATAAATTTATTTTGAAGATTCCTTTTTCACTTAAGAATGTGTAATGATCATTTTTCTACATCCTTAAGTATTTTTCTGGGGCATGATTTTGAATGATTTCATAAAGTATCATAAATTAACAAATCTCCTATTGTTAAATATTTAGATTTAAAATTTTTCCATGTTTTAAATAATCTATGAGACTGGCAGCCATTTTTAACATAAATAAATAATCCTGGAGATAATTACTTTGAGAAATGATAATGCAGGGATTGAGGGGAGGGCAGGTTTTCTAGGAAGAAGCGATGAAGGATGAGGTAGCAGTGTAGTGGCCGTAGAAACACCTGGGCCCTTTACCTATCCTTCTTTTCATTCATCTAACAGGTGGGAATTTAGTCACACGATATGTTTTGTTTCCTTTATAGGCCTTCATTCAACCGCAGACTTATCCTGATAACTACTGGATTGGCTTATCATATAATGCAAAGGAAAGTAAGTGGAAATGGATTGACAGTGGCACATCTTCTGGAACGTAAGTCTCTGGAATGCATTCGAACTCTAACATTGGTGTTGGGGTTGGAAGGATTGTATCTAAAAGGAATCTTATTTCACACAGCTTAACTCATTTTTAAGTAGAGGTCATTGGTAAGAATAAGTAGAATGATTAATAAAGTGTTTTAGGAAGTATAGTTAAAAAGGAACGGATGCATCATACAGTTATTAATAATAATAAGATTATGATGCTAAACACATAGAAGTGTTTAACACTTAACAGAAGAGCATAACACTCAGAGGTATGTGTTATGAGGTGCACAAAATAAAACAAAATCATAAAATAAAGTGATATGGAGAGATTAGACCATCCTGACTTAGCGATAGTGATCCCTCCCACAACCTCAAATGAATATCTTGAGTATCCTCAAAATTCATTTGAAACTCCTTTACATGATTAGTTTATATTATTTATAAATATAAATATACGTGAATATGCACACAAACACGTATACCTTCACTATAGTTCTATTTTGAAGTATAGTATTTAGTAAACTCTTGAGTTTACATTCAATTATAATCTACTGTTAAACTGTTACATGATTTTTTTTATTGATGTCATAATAGTTTATAACCTTGTGAACTTTTAGTTGTACATTAGTGTTTGTCAGTCACTGTATAAATGCCTCCCTTCACCCCTTGTACGTACCTCCCAACCCCCTTTCCCCTGGTAACCGCCAAACTGTTCTCTCTGTTTGTATGTTAGTCTATCTTCCACATATGAGTGAAATCACGTGGTGTTTATCTTTCTCTGTCTGGCTTATTTCACTTAGGATAATACCCTCCAGGTCCATCCATGTTGTTGCAAATGGGATGATTTTATCTTTTTTTATGGCAGAGTATTATTCCATTGTGTATATATACCACATCTTCTTTATTCAATCATCAGTTGATGGACACTTGGGTTGCTTCCACTGGCTATAGTGAATAATGCTGCAATGAACACAGGGGTGCATAAGTCTCTTTGGATTGTTGATTTCAGGTTCTTTGGATAGATACCCAGTAGTGGGATAGCTGGATCATAAGGTATTTCCAATTTTACTTTTTTGAGGAATCTCCATACTGTTTTCCATAGAGACTGCACCAGTTTGCATTCCCACCAGCAGTGAATGAGGGTTCCCTTTTTCCCACAACCTCTCCAACATTTGTTATTTTTTTCTTGGTGATTGTAGCCATTCTAACAGGTGTAAGGTCATATCTTAGTGTAGTTTTGATTTGCATTTCCCTGATTAGTGACGTTGAACATGTGCCTATTGGCCATCTGTATGTCTTCCTTGGACAATGTCTATTCATATCCTCTGCCCGTTTTTGATCCAGTTTTTTGCTTTTATTGTCGTTCAGTTCAATGATTTTTTAAAAATCTGAACAATGTATTATATTTTTTATTTCCAGATATTCTGTTTTATGTTTCCAAATCTTCTTGCTAGTTACTCATGTTTTCAAGCTGTCTTTTATTTCTTGAAAGATACTAAACGTTCTTATTTTATATTTGGTATCTGGTAATTCTTATATTTGAAGTTTTGTGGGTCCACTCAATTGTTGCTGCTGGCTTTCATTCATGATGCCATTTTCTTTGTAGTGTTGAGTGATTTTTTTTCTCCTTTTTGAGCTGCTGTGGAAATTATTCAAGGACTGAGATGAAGGTGGCTCCTCAAGAAAGAATTTGCTTTTGTTGGATGCCTTGGGGCACTATGAGTCAGGGCCACTTTTAATTCTAAATATGAGCCCTGCAAGTAGTGTAGTTCTGGGCTGCAAACCTACAAAAGATGTCATGCGGGAAATTACCTTCATGTAATCATAGCCTGTAAGTACACTTTCAGGAAAACAATCTCAGAGGTCACAGAACAGAGGCTCATGGGCCAAATTAAGATGCTCAAATTGCACAATTAAATCAATTTAAAACACATCGTACTATGCAAGGGGAAATAAATGGTATTGCTATCGCACTTGGATGGGATGGGATAGGTTGTCACACTTAGGATGAGGTGCAAGTCGGTGAAAGGATCACCTGGATCCTGGGTCATGCAATCTTCATATGGCCTGCCTTTCTCTGCTGCATAACCTTTTCCTGATGATGGAGTGGTTTCTAGCACCAGACTTGAGGTTTGAGTAAAGGGGCCCAACAGACAGAAGGTTCTTGTGGCCAACATACACATTTTCTCTATCCGGGAGATGCAGGTGCATGTAAGATCAGCCACGGCCGCAGCTTCCTAGTTAACCTTATGAGCAGCTATGGATTTTATTTGAGTTTCTTAGACAGAGGGCCAGAATGAGTGTCACCAATGGGTGGGGAACTTAAGACCTCATGAATGTTGAGTATCTATGTGCATCAGGTATATTTGGAGTATTATATTTAGTGTCTAGTTGGTTCTTTGTTCCTTTCCTATGTTCAGCACACACATGCTCTACTTAATGTATCTATACCTAATATGTTTCATAGGTTACTAACTTTCATATACATACTTAACACATCTTATGTGTCATGCCTATGCCTCACAAGCTACTTAGTTTCATTTATCGTCCTTGTTTATTCCTCTTTATTGCTGTAGCATATTTGAATATTTTTTAATATAGCAAATGTAAATTACGTGAGGGATGCTGTATGATTTTGAACTCTTTGGTGGGATTATCTGTTTAAGTCCAAGATTCAAAACAGTTCTTGGGTGGTTTGTAGCGAAGATATATCCCTTTGTGATCTCAACTCTGTGTAGCTTTTCTTCTATTCAGAATCTTGGGTGGAATTCATTATTTAGCCTACTACATCCATTAAGGGAAAAACTGACTTCAGAGCTTCATGTAAAAAGTGCAAAAGACTTAAAAAGATTATGATTTATATTATTGTAAGCTGAAGAGTTCAACAGTTGACCATGTATGTTTTCTGTCCCACAGTAATTTTATAATAAGGAGTTTGCCTTCTGGGAGTAGAAGATGTGTGTTTTTAACTTCAACAAGAGTAACAGATATTGATTGCTCTAATACCTATAATTGTATCTGTGAGAAGAGACTTGATTGTGTTTCCACTGCCTGCTTCAATTGACATAAAAGACAAGGTGAAAAGGAATTTTGCCATTTTTTTCTTTGTTTCCTGTGATAATTTGTGATTACTTACAAATTAATGTTTTTGACAGCAGATCTTATTCCATTATGGAAACAGAGATGAGTTGGAAGAGGAAGAATATGCTCTTCTGGACTATGACTTATGAGATCAGATGCCAGCTGTCTTCTTGGAGAAGAGGGGAAGGTTTTGCTTTTGGAAATCAGTTATCCCTCTCTTAATGGCCCTGAGAAATTCTCTCTTTCTCTTTCCCTGAACCACCCACAGAGCCAATTAGAGAACTCTGGGTCTTTTCCTTATCCATAGGCGAAATCATTTCAATAGCCTTAGGCTTGGAGAGATAGCACGATTAAGAACTAAAAAATAGTTATACTGCCCATCCCCCATCTAGATGCTTATTACCTCTCATTTAAAAATTTTTTTTTTTATTTTGCTATGATTTCAAACTTATTGAATTGTTGAAACAGTAGTACAAGGAACTCTCATATAACCTTTACCCATAGTTAGCATTAGTTTATGTTTAATAAACTAGCTGCGCTTTATAGTTCTCTCTCTCTCTCCTTGCTAGTCCATTTGATAATAAATTGGGGGCATTATGTCCCTTTGTCTAAATATTTTACAAGAACAAGGACTTTGTCTTGTCTAACCATGTACAATTATCAAAATCAGGAAATGTAGCATTTCTACAGCACTATGATTTCATCTATAATCCATATTCAAATTTTGTCAACTGTCCTGATAACGTCATTTATAGGATCAGGCACTACATTTAGTTGTGATGTCACTTTAGTCTCCTTCAATCTGGGATAGTTCTTCAGGATTTCTTTTTTTTGTAAATTCATTGTGGTGTTTTTTTTTTTTTTTTTTTAAACATCAAATTCCAGTACAGTGCATCTGCAGAAAGCAGGCCTGGGAAAGAATACTGGAATGAGAGTTAAGAGATCAGGTTTTGTTTTTTTTTTTTTGAGGAAGATTGGCCCTGAGCTAACATCTCTTGCCAATCTTCCACATTTTCTTTTTTCTCCCCAATACCCCAGTACGTAGTTATATATCCTAGTTGCAGGTCCTTCTAGTTCTTCTATGTGGGACGCTGCCTCAGCATGGTTTGATGAGTGGTGAGTCTGTCCACTCGCAGGATCTGAACTGGTGAACCCTGGACCGCTGAGATGGAAAGCTTGAACTTAACAGCTGTGCCATCAGGCCAGCCCCTCTTCAAGATTTCTTTGTCTTTCATGACATTTGTAATTTAAGAATCAGCTTTATTGATTTATACTTTCATGCAATTAAAGGTATCTATTTTAAATCATGACATCAATGGGTTTTTAACAAATGTATACACCTCTTAAATACCATCAAATCAAGACATAGAACATTTTCATCACGTCCAAAAATTCTTTTCTGCCCCTCCCCACCCACCTGGCCCCAGGCAACCAGTGATATGCTTTCTGTCACTGTAAATTAGTTTTGCCTATTATAGAATTTCATACATCATGTGCTCTTTTGTATCTAGCTTCTTTTTGCTCAGCATGTTTTTGAAATTAATTCATGTTTTTTCATGTATCATTAGTTCATTCTTTTTGTTACTGAGTAGTATTGCATTGTACGGATATACCACAGTTTGTTCATCCACCTATGGACAGTTGATGTGTTTCCAATTTTTAGTTATTATGAATAAACATACCATGAACATTGTGTGCCAGTCTCTGTGTGGGCATGTGTTTTCATTTCTTTTTATTAAATACCTAGGAATTTGATTGTTGAGTCTTATGGTAAGTGCATGTTTAATTTTGTAAGAAACTTCTAGTTTGTTTTCCAATGTGGTTGCATCATTTTATTGTCCCAGTAGCAACATACGAGAGTTTTAGTTGCTTCATATCATTGTTAAGACTTGATATGGTCAGTCTTTTTAATTTTAGCCATTATGGTGGGTGTGTAATGATATCTCATTTTGGTTTTTAATTCACATTTCCCTGAAGACTAATGATATTGAGCATCTTTTCATGTGTTTATTGGCCATTTGTATATCTTCTTTTGTGAAGTGTCTGTTCAATCTTTTGCCCATTGAATTGTCTGTTCTATCTTTTCTAAAATTGGATTTGTCTGTCTTATTATGGAATTGTAAGAGTTCTTTATATAATTTGGATACAAATCCCTTGTTAGATATATGTATTGCAAATACTTTCTCCCAGTCTATGTCTTCTCTTTTCATTTTCTTAGTGGTGTCTTTCCAGAAGAAGAAGTTTCAAAGTTTTGATGAAGCATAATTTATTCATTTTATCCTTTTTTTGTGCTTTTTATGTCCTATCTGAGAAATCTTTGCCTACATCAAGATCACAGAGATTTTTCTTCTATGTTCGCTTCTAAAAGTTTTATAGTTTTAACTTATATGTTTAGCCTATACCCATTTCAAGTTAATTTTTGTGTGTGAGAAAAGGGTCGAGGCTCACTATTATTTCATATAGATATCCAGTTTTGTTGCACTATTTGTTGAAAAGACTTCCCTATCCTCCATTGAATTACTTTGGTGTCTTAGTAGAAAATTAATTGACCATATCTGTGTAGGTCTATTTCTGGATTTTCCATTTTGTCTCAGTGATGTATACACCTAATCTTGCAGTAATACCATACTGTCTCCATTACATAGCTTTATAGTAAGCCTTGGAATCAGATGTGCTAATCCTTTAAATTTGTTCTTTTTCAGAAGTATATTGGCTATTCGGGGATCTTGCCTTTTTTCAAAATTCCTTCAAAAATGCTTGATGAGATTTTGCCTGGGACTGCATTGAATCTGTAGACTAATTTGGGACAATTGCCCTCTTAACAATATTAAATGTTAGAATTCACGAACATGATTTATCTCTTCATTAAGTTAGGTTTTTTTAGAATTTCTCTCAGCAATTTGATACATTTCAGGATATATGTCTTATACATATTTTGTTAAATTTATATTTTTGATGCTATTGTAAATGGCATTTAAGATTTTTTCAAATTATTTATTGTTAGTTTATAGAAATAAAATTGGTTTTTGTAAATTGACCTCATAACCTATCACCTTGCCAAATTTACTTATTTCCGGTAGGGTTTTTTTCTTTTTTTTTGTAGATTCCTTAGGATTTTTCTTTTCAATGTATATAATCATGTCCTAAGAGAACACAGAAAGTTTTACTTATTCCTTTCCTTCATTTTTTCTCTTCTTTTATTGTACGGGCTAGGACCTCTGGTTGAGGACAGTGTTGAGAAGTGATGATAGGTAAACATCCTTGCCTTGTTTCCAGTCTTACGAAGAAAAGTACTTAGTCTTTCGCTATTATGTGAGGTCAGTTGTAGGTTTTGTAGATCCTCTTTATCATGTTGAGGAAATTGCCTTCTATTCTTGTTGATTGAGACTTTCATCATGAACGGGAGTTGAATTTTGTTACACAATTTTTCTGCATCTATTGAGATGATTATGTAGATTTTCTCTTTGAGTCACTTAATATGGTGAATCGCATTGGTTGATTTTTGAATGTTAAACAAAACTTACACTTCTTGGATAAATCTCACTTGGTCATGCTGTATTTATCATCATTTTTTATATATTGCTAGATTTGCATGAGTAGTATTTTGTGAAGGAGTTTTGTGTTTATCTTGATAATAAATATTGGTCTGTTATTTTCTTTTTTAAAACATCTTTTTATGTTTATGGTATTGCAGAACTACTGGTCCTATATATTCATTTGGGATATTTTTGAATATCTCTCTATTTTGGGAGATAGAATTTGTTCTTTCATTCCTTAAATGTTTGATCAAATTTACTAGTGAAATAATCTGGGTCTGAAGTTTTCTTTGGGAGAAGGTATTTAATTAGGAATATGATTTCTTTAATAGACTCAGGGCTATTTAGACATTCTGTTTCTTGTCAATTTTGATAATTTTTCTCTATCAAGGAATTTGTCCATTTTGTTTAAATTGTCAAATTTATTGTCATATTGTTTTTCATAGTTGTATTAGAGTCACAGAGCTGTTGTAACAAAGTGCCACAAATTTAGTGGCTTAAAACAACCAAAATTTGTTGTCTCTTTGTTCTAGAGGACAGAAGTCCAACACCAAGGTGTCAGTATGCTTCCTCTGAGACTCTGGGTGGACTCTTTCCTTGCCTCTTCCTGGCTTCTGGTGGTGGCTGTTGATCCTTGATATTACTTGGCTTGTAGCTGCATTCCTCAATTTCTGCTTCTGTCATCACATGGCATTTTTACCTGTGTGTCTCTGTTTTTACATAGAGTTTCCTCTTCTTAGGAGGACACCCGTCATATTGGATTAGGACCCACTCTAATGACCTCATCTTAAGTTAATTACATCTACAAAGACTCTATTTCCAAATAAGGTCACATTCATAGGTGCAAGGGTTAGGACTTCAATGTATCTCTTTGGAAAATACAATTCAACCCGTAACAATAATATTTCCTTATTATCTGTTTGCTGTTTGCAGAATCTGTAATCATGTGTTTTCTTTTCTGACATTGTATTTCTAATATTATTGTATTTGTGTTATTCTTTCTTGATCAGTCTAGCTAGAAATTTATACCAATTTTGGTGATCTTGTCGATGAACCAGGTTTTTGTTTCATTAATTGTTTTATACTTTTCTGTTTTCCATTTTACTCATTTCATCTATTATCTTTCTTATTTCCTCTGATATACTATTTTGAATTTAACTGCTTTTATTCCTGGCCTTTTAAGTGAAAGCTTATATATCCTCGCGTCAAATTAGGTCTTTACCTATATGAGATCAAAGTTAAACCTAGAAAGTTTGTAAAACTTTTGATATACATGTTCAAGCATCTCCCCTCACAGCGCGGTATACTGGACCTAGTTGATGTGCTTCCCCTGATCTCTCAGCCCGTCTGTCTCACTCACTTGGAGGCTTGCCCAGCTTCCCAGCCAGAGCAGCCACAGCAATGCTTGTTTTGTACCCACGGTTGTAAATCTAGGTTATCATAACCAGTACAATGGCCAGATGTTGGCATGATCTCCATCATGTCCACCTTGGCAGAAGCCACAGCAGATTCAGTGCCCAGGTTGGCCAGATCCCTCAGAGGCTGCGGCTTTCAGAGATGGCCTGAAGTGTTCAAGCAACACAATCTAAAAATGCAGGGATATAAAGGCCCTATTTGGCAAATTTTCACTGGAAAAAGACAAAAGACAGGAAAGAGGCTGCCAATGAACTGCCAGCCCCCTCCTCCAACCTGATGGACTCTTTGAAGATGCAGTGTTTGTGTAAGGGTTCTGCAGACGTGTTCCATGTAAATGAGTAAAAAACTGTTTTCTTATGAAGCTGTGGCCAGCTTCTGAAAATGTATCATCTTGTACTTCCTTTTCTTCCTTCCCTGTCTCATTTCTCTTTCCTTTTGCCTCTCATTCTTGCTTACTTTGGATTTCATTCTTTCCCCCAGTTAAGTGTGATGACATAATGTTTTCCTCAGGCTCTGTTTCCAAGAAACCCTGGGTTAAGATGGTGCCATCTAATGAATGGCAGGATTGTAGCCATTCAGGGGACTTTGGAATGAGTATTTGGTCCACATCATATAACCCCTCTCTAAATAAGCACATATACCATCAGCCAGTGATAAAGCCTGTAATGTCTACAATATAACAGAAGATATAATTCTATATGATATTCAATCCCTTCATTGGGATCCATACCATACCTAGAAAGGAGGTATAGGGAAAGCTGGCCTCATGCCTGTCTTAT